AAGGTGACTGTGGACAAGTCTGTGGTGGGTAACCGCTACCAGGCTCTGAAGACGTACCCGGACGGCAGTGTGGCGTATCTGTCGAAGGGCAAGACGGACTCCTCGCTGCAGGTGGTTCGTTTCTATGGCTGCTAAGATGGATGTACAAAGTTTAGACATGTGAGTGAGTAGTGTCCAGTAAATGTGTAGTTGATAATGCAAATGCATCGGTCGAAAAATTACATGAGGATCTCTTACACGTTCGGTATCACTCTGGCTGAGATGCAAGCGAATTCCAACGTTCTACTACAAGCAGGACAGCATTCACTTCTTTCACAATTGCGTCTGCTGCAGCATAACGCTCTGCGTCCTCATTGCTCAAGTCTGTTCGAGTCAATGCATCAGGTTTCGTCCACGTTGCGTTCACCCAGATCGTCCTCAATCCAGCGCGTTTGGCTCCTTGCACATCGCACTCGTAGTGGTCGCCGACATGCACGAGGTGCTGACGACTGTACGAGGCCGGGAACTGGGCCACCGCCGCATCAAAGATCGCCTGTCCGGGTTTGGCAGAGCCCACCAGCTCCGCAGAAATCATGAAGTGCATGTGGTCCTGGAAATACTTGGGTAAGTTGTTCATCTCACAGTTTCCATTGGTAATAACCCCCAGAACAGGCGACGCAACATCTTTCATATCGCTTGACCGCTTGATCTCCAGTTCCAGGCCCCGGAACAGGCTCTCCACGCCGTCGAACGGCTCCGGTTGGCTGCGCGGCACTAGAAAAGCTCGAAACGCGGCGTCTACAAACTCCTCGAGCTTTATTTGGTCCTGTAGATTCAAAGTTTGGGCACCACACACTTCCACGCAGTGGCGAAGCGTGTGCTTGCGGAGGAATGTGTAGTCGTGCGCATGATCCGGTAGTGCGCGCTGGAATTCGACGAGCAGCGCGTCGAACGCCACGGGTGGGAACTTGTCCGCCAGTTGCGGCGTCTCCTGCGCCAGATACGCGTGGAAGGCGGCGCTGGCCTTGCGGATCACGGTCTTACCGCACCACAGCGTGTCGTCCAGGTCGAAAGTCACGCCGCGCACGGCCACAGCCGCCGATTCCATTTCGTTCTTTTGTCAAAATCTGAGCGGATTATGTTCAAGGTGACAATTGTGTTGTGAACATCAATGTTCGTATAGGTATCCACGTCTTCCTAATATCAAGTGTGTATAAAATCTGTATAGATTCATATAAGTTGACATGAACAGTGATACCTTTTCCGTTGTATCTTCTGGTCTATCTTGCGAGAATGGCGTCGAAATCGATGTGGCTGGCATAGTGTTCACCACACGCGTGCACCTTGTGTTCATCAGTCGGGTTAAACTTTGCTGCAAGAACGATGTGAGACTGTTGCACAAGTAGAAAAAAAAACAAAACGACTTACCGGTAAAATGCGTTATCTTCTCCATGGCCGCGAACGTCGTCATGGGCACATAGAGCACAGGAACTTGTGCATTCTTGATGATATTCGTGATGTAATCCTGCGGATTATCATCAGACGGCGATCCAGTAAGTATGAGTCCTCCCCCATACGGCCTCTTCATTGTGAGTTCGAAGTTCTGCGCGTGAGAGAGGAAGCCCAAGATGATGTCGTTGCGAGACACGTGAGTGACGAACAACGTGTGGTCGAACTCTGGCTCGCTCAACTTTGCCAAAAAGCGTCTAAGTCCAGCCGTCACGAGCGTAGTCTTGCTATACTGCTGAAAGCGCCGCGAGCGAGACGTCAGCATTTGAGTCCCGAATAGTCCTTCAAAGTCCAGCATGCTCGGGTTCGACAGCAATGGTAAGTTCGGTACAACGCCAATCAACGGCACGTTGGCTCCCCAATGCTTCATGGCCTTCGGGAAGTACTCTCGTAGCATTTCCACTCGGTCTTCTCGCACTTTATTCAAAATAACGCCGCGAATCCTCACATTGTGAGCTTTGCACATGGAATAATTAAGTGCCAGGTCGTCAAATGCTGAGCCCAGTCCGCCATTGGCCACTAGCACCATGTCCACGCCCAACTCGGCAGCAATTCGAGCGTTGTTGCACTCCACGATAGAGCCAACCCCCGTGTGTCCTGTGCCTTCCACTACAGTGAACTACAAGACACACATTAATCCAGAGTTTGATGATGGTTATTCCAAGACTGTACTCACCTCGTTAGCTTCCGTAATGCGCTTAAAACTTGTCCGGATCTTGTCCAGTTGGCTTTCCACTGTTATATGTCCATCCAGGAAGCGCTTGGTGTATCCAGGCATTATTACAACGGGGGACATGTCCGCGTAATTGCAAGTATCGAGCTTGAACACCTCTGTGTTCGAAAAAAAAA